AACCCATTTAGCCTAAAAGCAACTTCATCAAAATCATAGCAACGAAAAAAATGGGAAATAACAATCACAATGCAAATCCAAGAATTCAAAGCACAAAACAAAATTTTAATCGTGAATATTCAAGAAAATGCATAAAATTAGTAATTACCATCACATTTGACGTGGAGAATTGAATGTAAGCGCAAAAAGAGGAGGAAGAAACGTATTAGAGACTCCTTGTTTGTTGTCTGATGGAATATGGACTGAGAGTTCAACTCGAAGCTACTGTACACAAGTCTCTGTATAGAAACTTTCGGTGACGAGGAAATATGAACTGATACGGTGTCGTCTTGTTGAAGTTTCAATTTCGAGAGTTAATTGTTTGAACGCACGTCAAACTTTGGGTGGAGTCATATTTCACTCGCTCTGCTTGAACTTGCACCCCATTTGCACACCAAACTTTGGTGAGAAAAGGCATGTTTGGTGAGAATTATGTAGCATTTAACTGTCACATGTGAATTCCATCTTTTACGTGTGCATGCGTTAGCGACGGAAGTAACTTGGCGAGTAATGGAGTACAATAATATAAAATTCAGTGCGCGATGAAGTGCAACTTGAAGTACAGTGAATAAAACGTGACGCTATTCAAAGTTTGATGTGCATTCAAACAATTAACTTCAATTTAAAGTTTACCTTGAAGAATGACCCCTGAACTTACTCAAATTTGTAAAATTGGATTGCAACTTACAAAGTAATTAAAAATTACTCTTAGGTTTATTATTGACTTTTAACTGTGGTAAATTTTTCTTGTTGCTTGCTTTCTTACCTTTCCTATAGTTATCTATCCTTTACATAATAAATTTTTATCTCGTTTATACGAATAATGGGTAAATTTCGCTTGGATTATTAAAATTTAATTTATCTCAATTAGATCAATGAGCTTCAATATAGTCAATATGGCCGTGAATTAACGGTTCGACTTTTGTTGTCTGTGCTCTCATAAGCTTAAAAAATCTTAATTCCCAGTTGCCATGGCAGAAACCATAAGAATATTCCCAACTCCAAGATTGCCAATCATGTGTGAGGACTTTTCTGTAAAAATACAAAACTAATTTTCTTTTTCGAAAAACAAAAATTGGTGGATGCAATTCAATTTGGATAAAATGGCTCAGTGCTCCTATGGCATGCATCCCATGTAGGCACAGCAGGTTCCTCTGTTTACCAGTTTCTGCCTTTAAATTTATTTGTAAAAGCTAAGAATTTCCTTATATACTCCTCTCTGAAACGAGATGACAGTTACCACAGACGGGCGAATAGCACTGTCAGCCGCTGGCCAATTGCATGGCATTGCCAGATTGTCGAGAAGAAACGGGAGGCTCGTGAAGTTTAGACATGGAGAGTTCGTGGGAGAGCAGCTTAAGATAACACAATTTCAGCAGAGGACCAAGTACAATGGTAATAAGAATCCAATCTGCATGTCACTTACAGCAGATATTGCAGGTGAGGCCAAGGTGAGTTCTAATTAATTCAAAAAATAGAGGGACCTTTATTCAATCCATGATATTTTCATTGTTTTGTGTTTATAAAAGATGTGATGTTACCTTAAAGAACTCCGTTATCCTGTACAGTTGAGGGACCTAGAGATGGAGAAAAGAGATGCGAGAAGCGTTGCGGCGATTATATTAGGAGGTGGAGCTGGCACTCGTCTGTTTCCCCTGACTAAGCGCCGTGCCAAGCCTGCTGTAAGTCTTCATACCTGCAGTGAACAGACATAACAAGTGTTCCATTTGAACAATTCATAGCAAAATTAGTCAAAGATTCATGCTATTCTTAATATTTCAGGTTCCCATTGGAGGAGCATATAGGCTGATTGATGTACCTATGAGCAACTGTATCAACAGTGGGATCAACAAAGTTTATATACTCACTCAGTACAATTCAGCATCACTCAACAGGCATCTTGCTCGTGCTTACAACTTTAGTAGCGGAGTCACTTTTGGAGATGGCTCTGTTGAGGTAACCATCAAGTTTATACTTCTGCCCCAGTTTATACTTTAGTAGCGGAGTCACTTTTGGAGATGGCTCTGTTGAGGTAACCATCAAGTTTATACTTCTGCCCCAGTTAATATTACTACTTAACCACAAACTGATACAAAGGGAAAATGCACATAAATTTTGTTAATTAACTCGTGTTCGCCTGCAAATTGATTGCTTCCAATGACAGGTCTTAGCTGCCACTCAAACTCCAGGTGAGTCGGGTAAAAGATGGTTTCAGGGTACTGCAGATGCTGTGCGACAGTTCCACTGGCTTTTCGAGGTACTGAGTTCTAGTTCTATTTAGTGAAATCCAGTGCAGATTTGCTCCCAAATTGAGTATAAAAGAGCATAGTTTGCACCTGAACTTCCATTTGCATTCAGTGATATTTTTTGACATCATAGTCTCTCCATCCTAGCTTCTCTAGTACATTCTACTTTCAAGAAAAAAACATGCATTGGAGGATATTCATGACGGAAATCTTAAATGGTTAAGAGAAAAATTGGCTAGGTTTTAAGACAATATATCCATCATAAAAGTAATCAAGAGATTAAGATCATTTTTTGAACACTGTAGTAGACACGTATATCAACTCACTAGCTCAATAGATCTACTTCTATGGAACTAAAATCGAATGCCAAATTCTTCTCACTGCAAATATGGCTTGTACAGATATGATAAACTTAGCATTTTCCACATCAAACAATTCAATTTGTTAATGATATCAGTTCGTTCCATGAGAAAATAAAAAGGCTAGGGTTAAGTTAAAAATACCAATAAAAAGTATAGTATTTCACCAGTATCCAAGAAAAAGTTCCCATCAATATCTAGAAGAGGATTGACTAAGCTCTTGATGATTGAATACTGTGATCTATTACCAATTCTTGAGAACCAAACTCACCTTGTTCTACTGCTTATTAACAGTTATATGGTGACTTATGAATGGGTGGTCTTATATATGATGTCATTTCCTGCCTTGTAGGATGCGAGAAGTAAGGATATTGAAGATGTGCTCATTCTATCTGGAGATCACTTGTATAGGATGGACTATATGGACTTTATTCAGGTATGAAAAAATTTTAAATGTATTTTGCACTATTAGATGAAGCTTAAATTTTCATGGCATTACATAAGTTTTTCTCCTTTCTGCAGAATCATCGGCAAAGTGGTGCAGACATTACTCTATCATCTTTACCAATAGATGACAGGTAGAATATTGGTTCAATTTCCAACTACATAGTATAAGTAACAATGTAACATTATCATTAATCAGGAGTTTTTAAGAAAACTTGTGTCATCAGAAAGAAAAAAAAAAAGAGAAGGAAATGTCACTGTAAAGTTGCTTGAAGTTGCAAGATAACTTCCACATGGCTAACATTAGTTTTTATCTCATCATGCAAAACTAGGACAGGATAATACAAGAAAGTAACAATTCCATGGCAGAAGGTTATTGTAAGAAGCAAGCTGTCATCAAATGGTGGCACCACGATGTTAAAAATAAGGACCATAAGAAATAATCAAATATTTGAATGGGACATTTCTTTTTCTATGTTCCTTGCATAGTATTTGGAGCTCCTTGTGTGCAACTTTTTTCCGAAACAGTGATATAATATTATCACCCCTCGAAGTTTTTGGGTTTCTCTGTAGGCATACAATGATAAAAAAATAACATTTTCGGGTGATTTATCTGTTTTCATGATAGCCGTGCCTCAGATTTTGGTTTGATGAAGATTGATAATAAAGGAAGAGTCCTTTCATTCAGTGAAAAGCCTAAAGGAGATGATTTGAAGGCAATGGTAATTGGCAAAGTTCTAAATTATGATATTCTCTAGGACAATGAAATTGAAATTCCCAAAGGCTGCAGTTAAGTAAATACATTTCAGGCAGTAGATACAACTGTTTTGGGACTATCAAGAGACGAAGCAGAAAAGAAACCTTATATTGCTTCAATGGGAGTTTATGTCTTCAAGAAGGAAATACTTCTGAATCTTCTAAGGTAAGAAAAAGTCCTTGCATGTGGAAAGGCAAGACTAATTTTGCCTGACCTCCCAATCTCTTCTCCTCGTTTTGTTGCATATAGAATCGCAGTGCAGCAAGAAGTTTCAGAAAACACCTCTAAATCAGAAAATTTGCAAAAGAAGGGGTTCCATGACAGCCAACATAATTTATGCTTTATCAAACATGAAGAAATGAAGTACATTTTGTTTTCTGTTGATTCAGATGGCGTTTTCCTACTGCTAATGATTTTGGATCAGAAATTATCCCTGCCTCAGCTAAAGAATTCTACGTTAAGGTCTCTTCAACAAGTCCTTTATCGGGCATTCACATATATATTTTTCACAATAATTTGAAGATGCCATTTTCTGTATGTTCGACTAAGAGTGTTCCAACCCTTAAAGCACGCATTATCTATATTATAATGCATTTATAAAAGATAATAGCTTGTTTATTTAATATATTTTAATTCCCGATAAAGCATGGTTGAATCTAAATCTTCTCTCTGTGGAAAACTGCACAATTTATTACTTTTAGATCGACTTATGTACAATTTTTGGAGTTTCCATAGATGTAGGTTGGTTATTTTAACATTGTTAAACTCTTACACACTTATACCTTAGAATCCATTGCAAATTTGTGCTCAAACTTGCATGAATCTGCAGGCTTATCTCTTCAATGATTACTGGGAAGACATCGGTACAATCCGATCATTTTTTGAAGCAAACCTTGCCCTTACTGAACATGTAAGCATCAAGACTATATACTTATACCTCTAATATGATTTCAATCATCTCTCAAATACACCTGGCTAAGAGCTCATTAGTCTTTACAGACAGATCTGATTTTGTTCAATTGTCTTTTATTTATTTGTTGTGTAATTTTAGCCACCAAGATTCAGTTTCTACGACGCAACAAAGCCAATCTACACATCAAGAAGAAACTTACCACCATCAAAGATTGATAACAGCAAGGTTATAATCTCAATTTACTTTTAGTTTCTACAAGACATGAATAGAAAGTTTAGTTTTGCATTATGCAGTACTTGAGTAATCAGTTCATAAGAAATTATATACATTAGATACTTTTCTCATACATTATAATTAAGGAAATTCTGTCGCAGATTGTCGATTCAATTGTATCACATGGTAGTTTCTTGACCAACTGCTTTGTGGAGCACAGTGTTGTTGGTATCCGGTCTCGTATAAACTCCAATGCTCACTTGAAGGTTTTTTTTGTTGGATTTTTGCCACATTTTTCAGCTCTTGCAATAATTACTCCCACGTCTGTATCTATGATTTAGGTTCAAGAAAAAAAACCTGCTTGTTATGGAATTCTTGAATCATTACTTAACAGAGTGTAGTGCAGTTGGCTTCCATTGAGTCTTTTTAATATACTTATTACCCTACATACTGAGTTAAGTGCAGGACACAGTAATGCTTGGAGCTGACTACTATGAAACTGATGCCGAAATAGCATCATTCTTAGCAGAGGGAAAGGTTCCTATAGGGATTGGAGAAAATACAAGAATCAAGTAAATTCCAGCCTCTCACTTACAAATAATATCTTTCTAATATTTTTTCCTCGTCTTTTCACCTGACTCCATCTACATTATGCAGAGAATGTATAGTTGACAAGAATGCGAGAATTGGTAAAAATGTTGTCATTTCAAATGCAGAGGTACGTTAGTTTTGTTGCTAAAACTATTACGGTCACTAGTTCTTATCATCTTATAGAAATGGTTGAGACGTACTTTTGTTTTTTATTAAGCCTTTTATACATATTCGTGTTCAAAGGAAAAAGCTATGAGTTCAAAGCTCGGGATAATTGTAGCTCATGATTGTGTAATGACTTCCAGGGCATACAAGAGGCGGACAGATCTTCAGAGGGGTTTTCCATCCGATCAGGTGTTACAGTAATATTGAAAAACTCAACAATTAAAGATGGCACTGTTATATAACATTTTAATTTTGTTCCTCTTCAGTTGAGCATCAAAAACTTGTGGATCATAAATTTTGTATAATGACATCAAGGGTGCAAAAGTTTGAAATAATATTCGGGTTATTTATGAATAGAGATTTTAGCATCATTAAGTGATGCTTTACATGTGTTTTGTCAACTTTATATACCCATAGTTTCTGAATACTCTCAACAATTCACTCTGGGTTGGCATGAAATAAAGCTGGTTCATTTTTTGAAATGTTGGCAAGGTTCATTTTTGAAATGACTAGGATGCAGGAAGAGAGTTCACGATTAAAGAACGTAAATCCAAATATCATATGGATTCTTTAAGAACTTCATGTCAACCTAAAACAAGGAACTTAATAAATATTCCCAAACCCTGTACCTATAAGAGGTCATAACTTGATCATTAGGTTCATAGTTCAGTTATATTAGCTCTTCTCACATAGACTAGATCTGCTAAGAACAAAGATAGAAGAGATATAAACAACTGGAAGTGTAGCAGAAGAAATAACTAAATTCAATACAAAATTGAGAAGATAAATCTCATTTACAACAATAACTCTTCGCAATGAAACATCAACTCATTTTCAAATCTCTGCAATACAAAACGTTCTTCTGATGTTATAATGCTGGTAACAAAACATTTGCTATCTGAGAATGGCTTCCTACCTGTTCTTCCAGCTCGGTGAAGATAATTCACTGCATCTTTTGGTACATCAAAGTTGTATATATGAGTTGTCTCTGGCAGGTCAACACCTCTAGCTGCTATATCTGTTGCAACTAGAAGATAGCCTCCTCCTAGCCTAACATCCTATATGAAAGAAATAGATAAATCAGACAGTGAGGAAACTAGTGCCTGGTGGCATATTGCAACACAGACCAGTTAATACATCCAATCACAAACTTTCCTTTACTAAGGACACAGGAGAGAAATTCATTGAAGTCCATTAATGTACTTACAGTTAAGGATGTTGCTCGTTCATTAAAATTCATGTTTTCCTCCAGTAAAATTATTTCCGAGCACCCCACACGTGAATTCTTCAAAAACTCAACTAGAAGAGTCACGGGTGCAGGATTTCCAGCGTTCTTTGACTTCTCAGACTGCATATCAAGTGAAAGACTACGTTAATACGCCAAAATGCCAAATTCAATTACAGGTTGAAAATAGAACATTACATATTTTCTGAATTTGAAGATAGGACTCTAGAGAATCTAAACAGGTTTGTGAGTCTAATTCAATGTACAAGAGCGTAATTGATCATGTGACAAATCTGAACCTAGATTTCCCTAAAAACGACACTTGTAGTACAAGACTTCTAGTGAAGATTACATATGATTGATAGAAAATTAACTCATCATAGAGTACAGGAAAAATGTAAGACTCATAAAAATGTGGATCAGAGATCAATAAGTGTATACTGGGATAAGTAATTTTAGACCGCAACAGGAGGCCAGCGATCAAATATCTGTATAAACCTAGCAATGTTAAGCAACTTGGTATAGGTGCGCTTTTTCAGCCTCACATATGAATATTATTTGGCCCATATTATCAGTAGGCATAATTTAATCAACATTCCATAGCAGCAAGAGCATCTTACCATCTGAATTGATGGCTAATTCATGATACTTCTCCGCCAAATCATGCATGTGGACCATTGATTCTATGATGATAAGTAAATGGTAGTAGTTTTATCGTTGCTGTACGCAGGAAGTGGCATCTAACTACTATCTCCAGAGTTAATGCATACACTTCAGACCTACTTTTCCATAGTGGACCATTATTCTAGTTTATTTCAATTTTCTGGGGATAACTATTCGGAAAACTAGAAGGATTACAGTCCAGTTAAACAATTGAGGGTGGTAAGAGGAACTAACTTGTTCTCCAACAAAAATTATGGCAGATTGAGGTGTATCTGACAGCAATAAATGTAGCAATGACGAATGCCTCTCTGTTTTACCACATATCTGGCAGTACAAATATTAAAAGAATTAATACATTATACAAGGAGGGCAAAAACCATACAATAAAATCACAAAGGCTGCGAAGCAGAGTGCTAGCCTTCAAGATGATATTACTAAATAGAGAAGCTAACTTCACAGAAAGTTTGAGGCAAAAATTAATGCTAAATAGTACATGCAAAGATTGTTGTTTCAAATCGCAAACAAGAACGTCAATTCCTCGGAGTAATATCTTCTCACCACGAATCTGTGAGACAAGCATGATGGCATAGGTTCAGCTGGATTCATATGGACATGAACAACATCAGCCTGTAATAATCAGTGGGGCAGCATAGATATCATACAGTTAGTACAGGATGACACAGACCCAGTGACAAATTCTCAGATAATTAAAATTTTAGCAAACCTTGGTCCATTTCTGCTGTTTACAGTCATACAGAAATCGTCTGTGCTGAGGAATTGATGCACTAGCAAATATGGTTTGACGCATATGGATTGATGAGTAAGTGGTCAAAAGCTTCCGCAGAGAACTCACTTGCTTGGAAGAGTTGAACAGAAAATCAACCTAAACATTCAAAGAATATAATATATCTTTTCCAATGGTCCAAGAATGGCACTAAAGCTTGGATGTCACAGATAAAAGACCAAATAAGCATAAAAAATTCATTTAAGCGTAAGAAGCACGGCACTCTTAGGAAGGCTACATGTTCGTGTAATATACCAATACTCACTCTAGAACACCGTCCTGCACTATTTGACTGTGCCAAAATAAAAAAGTTAAAAACTCAAAATATCAGACACTACTAGAACTACAAGACTGAACTATGACGTACAATTGACTATGTTCAGTAATATTATGTTAGTGTGCGAAGTAGCATTGAATTTGAAAAAGTAATTAAAAACTTGATCTAAATTTCAGCACCACTTATATATTTATATGTAAAAATTCAACATTGCTCATATGTAAACATGCACCTCCCCGTGCATGAGATAGTTGACATGGGTATAGCCGTATAGGGAAGAATATTGTAGAATAAAATGGCATATCTATGAGTCAGTTTGGTATGGTTTCCATGTCCCAATTCCTTCTCTAAGACAAAAGCACTTGAATGCCAATTCATCTATCTCAAAACTTTGTTATACATCATGTAATGTATAAGTAAACAATTAGATTAGAAGCTTCAGTGGAAATAATTTTCATCAAAACATTTGATCAAGAACAGAAGATTACGTCCAAAAAATTTTATTATCAGCAGAAAGTATCAGTTTCTTTCAGAAATGTCTAGCCTTGTTCTTCAGTTTTGGTGGGACGACAAGAGCATATTGCCCGCTATATGAAAACTTGAAAATGTTTATTTGGTATATAGATAATATATGAAATATAAGGAATAGAGATTTGACAGGACATCTCATCACCTCATCAATAACCAACACTCGCATGGCATCCAACTTGAAAATTTGCTTGTCAAGCATTTGGGATAGACTTGCCAAGGTTGCAATCACAATTGCAGGGGGCTCCGCCTGGTTAAAACAACAGCATATTACAGGTTTAGCTAGATCGTCAAGGCACCATGTGAGAAAAAAGGAGGTGAACGAGTTGTTGAGTGAGAAGCATTTAAGAGAACAAAATAGGTTCAACTTTTGGTCAGCTGGACTAAAAATGTCATGAGGATAGGATTAGAGACAGGTCTAGTCCATTATATAATCCAAATTTGTAAGACTCTAGCTTTCCTCCCCTAGTCTAAGATAAGAAGGAATATCTTATAAAAATGAAAAAACAAAGAAGAGACTTTCCCTCTCCACAACCCTACAGTATAATCAGGCATCGTCAGCACTTCAGGAAGCAGTTCTAGTTTGATGTTATAGGAAAAATTAAAACAACATTGACAGTTGCAAGCAGCCAGTCAGTTCTGTACCTTTAACCAACTCCTATGTCTTCTCAACGTTCCACCATCTAAAAGAGCCATAACAGTGCAAGACTTGTGATCTGCTTCAAGTTCTGAATAATTAGCAGCCAACATTCGTGCAACTTTTGTGACCTTTTTCACAAAAATAAACAATATCAATTTTGTTTCCAACAACATTAATTTCACTCGCATACAATTTATTTTAATAAAGAAGCAAGAATTAGCGTCTTACCTGAATGCCAAGCTCCCTAGTGGGCACAACAATCAGGGCCTGAACAGCCGATCTCTTTGCATTTATAACAGAGAATATCAACAACAGGTATGCCAGGGTCTTTCCTGAACCTGTCTAGAAAATCAAAGGGACACAAAGACATTAACCACATCAGTTATTTTTATTTTATTTCTTGTCAAGGCTGTTCAAGTAGTGAACGGCGAAGAAATTATATCCTAAACCAAACTACTTCCTTTGAATGTTACTTTTCATTACAAGATATTTTGATCAAAACTCAGACTAGGACATAATTATCTAACCAATCTGCTATTTTCAGGTCAAAATTAAATTAGCACGTAATGAGCATATTTTGGCTTTTCTTAAAAGTCAAAAAATCAGCTTCTTTTGGGCTTTTTTTGGCAACGTGACTCTTAATACTGCAAAAATGGGATGGAAATAAGTTTAGTTTTTTTTTTGGCTTATAAGCAAAGCCAAATATGCTCCATATACTAAAAATCATTGCAGGTACTCATAGATTTAACTTATCCAATCACAAAAAGTGGTAATCTTTCAACTGTCTTCATACACGCTACACAAAAATTTTCTTACTTCTGAGTAATGACACAAGAATCCACCTAAAACAAAGCGAATTTATGAATAGAGTCAAACAAAAAGTGACAATGCATATATTCATCAAATACAATATAAATGAACATATCCACTCTGTCTGATGTGCAAATTGACAAATGTGTATAGGTGAATGCTCATCAAATACATGGTGACGGCGTAGTTGGATGACTCTAAAGGACCTAACTTCAATCATTTCACTCTTTAAAAACAAAACATTCCTCGTCTGAAGTCTAATCTTTAAACAGAGCACGTATTAATAATATTGACCTGAGCATGAAGCACACAGTCACGCCCAGAAAATAAGACCGGCAGAGCTTCGCATTGAACATCTGTTGGAATCACATATCCAACCTCCTCCGCCCTGCAATTCGTTTATTTTCAAACCTTACATCAATGTATTTTTCAGCAATGTACAAACCAATATTAAACATTATACATAAATTCAATAGTTAGTTTTAGAAGAATTTAACATTAATTGAGACTCAACTCACTTGTTGAGATAAGATAAGAACTTGCCTGGTGATGACGTGATCAGGTACGTGACCTCGACACAATTCACGCAACGTAGAATCACCCTTGTTTGTGGCGTACGCATCGATATTCATAGTGCAAAACAAGCAGAGAGAAGCAGCTACAGAGACGGATTTTACAGTCAGTTCCCTACGGTTCGTAAACAACGAGTGCTTGCAATTAGAGTTTGTTAAAAAAGGAGTGCTTCGGCGCCTGTGCAGTTTGGAGAAAGGCCATGACAAGTGCGTCGCAACAGAACTCGCCATGGAAGGAAGGTGGAGGAGCTGTCGACTGTGACTGAGTGAGGGGTGAAAGAGGTCAAATTACATATGTACCCTTCACCCAAGTTTTGGACTGAGTCGCGTCTATCTGTCACATTGATATAACTTGGGGAATTTTCACTTTTCATCCTCAACCTTTGTGAAACTTAACGAATATATTCTCAACCTTTTTTTGACATAATTTATCCTCAATCTTTCAGTTATGTAACAAAACAACCCATTCTCTCTATTTTGATCATTAATTAAGCCCCTGTTTTGTGGTCATTTTTTTTGGAAAAATATATTGCTTTGAATAGTGAATTTTTGAAAAATGTGTGGTTAAAAAATAAGAAAAAATTTTGAGTTTACGCAGGGCCGGCCCTGGCCCAAGGTAAACAAGGCCATTGCCTTGGGCCTCATATTTTAAGGGGCCTCAAAAAAGAGGCCCAGACACAATGACCCATAAAAAAAAAAAAATTGCAAAAGGAAAATTCTGGAAGAGGAGCAGAGGAGCAGAGGCAAACGAAGAGTCCTCCACTCCTCCGCCTCGAGACTCCAATTGAATCAATGAATCATCTTC